GGGGGGGGTTAGGGGTAGTGGGTGGGGCGGTTAGGTATGGTGGTGCGGGGTAGGGTGGGGGGGGTTAGGGGTGGTAGGGGGCGTGGTGGGGGTTAGGGGTGGTGGGGGGCGTGGTGGGGGGGTTAGGGGTGATGGGGGTAGGGTGGGGGGGGTGGTAGGGTTGGGGTTGTGGGGGGCAGCGTGGGGTGGGGGTGGTAGGGTGGGGGTAGGGTGAGGGGAGTGGTAGGGTAGGGTAGGGTGGGGGGGGGGGGGGTTGTGGGGGGCAGCGTGGGGGGGGGTGGTAGGGTGGGGGTAGGGTGGGGGGGTTGTGGTGGTGGGGGGGGTTAAGAGGAAGTGGGCAGCAGGCTGGAGGAGCTGGCGGCAGCGTGAGGGCAATCCGGGCCCCCTCCCCACCGTCGCCCCGAGGTCTGACGCCGCCTGCGACGAGAAGCCATCTCCTTGAGAGCTTCATCTCCTGTGTGTCCAGTGTTGGTGTTGGTGTTGTTGTTGTCCTTCCCCCGCGCCTCCGGTTAACACGGTTTGGCTGCTACGTACGGTGCGAAAGAGGTTCAACGTACGTACCGACACCGGGACGTGATCACCCAGAAGCCACGGGGACCCCTCTCCGTCACACAAATCCCAAGCGACTGAAGCCTAAACCCATAGCCCCCCCGCCCCTATACAGCTAACCCCAATCCCGCATCTTTGGGGATTGCTCGATGCACCGAGCCCCGCGGTCCATGGCAGTGAATGTTAACGGGCTCCAACGATCCATCACCACCACTACCATCATCACTACCACCACCACCACTACCCACATCATCTCTACCACCATCATCACTACCACCACTACCACCATCATCACTACCACCATCACTACCACCACCATCACCACTACCAACACCACGACCACCACCACTACCACCATCACTACCACCACCACACTACCACCACCACTACCACCATCATCACTACCACCACCACCACTACCACCGCTACCACCACCACTACCACCACCACTACCACCATCATCACTACCACCACCACTACCACCACCACTACCACCATCATCACTACCACCACCACTACCACCACCACTACCACCACCACTACCACCATCATCACTACCACCACCACTACCACCATCATCACTACCACCACCACTACCACCACCACTACCACCACTCACTGACCACCACCACTACCATCATCATTACCACCACACCTACCACCATCATCACTACCACCACCATCATCACCACGTACCACCACCACTACCCCATCATCACTACCACCACCACTACCCCACCACCACTACCACCACCACTACCACCATCATCACTACCACTACCACCACCACTACCACCATCATCACTACCACCCACCACCACTACCACGCTACCACCACCACTACCACCACCACTACCACCATCATCACTACCACCACCACTACCACCAACACAACCTCAATGATCACTACCACCACCACTACCACCACCACTACCACCATCAGCCTACCACCCACCTACCATCATCATTACCACCACCACTACCACCATCATCACTACCAACCACCATCATCACCACTACCACCACCACTACCACCACCACCACTACCACCACCCTACCACCATCATCACTACCACCACCACTACCACCACCACTACCACCATCACCACTACCACCATCATCCACTACCACCACCACTAATACACCACCATACCACCATCTCACTACACAACTACCACCACCACTACCACCAACACGACCACCATCATCAATACCCACTACCACCACCACTACCACCACCACTACCACCATCACCACTACCACCATCATCACTACCACCACCACTAATACCACCACCACTACCACCATCATCACTACCACTACCACCACCACTACCACCACCACATACCACCATCATCACTACCACTACCACCACCATACCACCACCCACTACCACCACCACTACCACCATCAATCACCACTACCACCGCTACCACCACCAATACCAACCATCACTACCACCACCACTACCACCACCACCACTACCACCACCACTACCACCATCACCTCTACCACCATCACCACTACCACCAGCATCACTACCACCACCACTATACCACCACCACTACCCCACCACTACCCACCACTACCACCACCACTACCACCACCACCACGAGATTATGTGAAGGAATGACACAAATTCGCCCGTTTTCTCATTGAAAATAGGGACGTTTAAACATTTTACGGTCCTGGTCACAAAAGCAAAGTTTGTGGGGAATAGTAGCCATTTTCTGTACCTTTTGAGGCATAAGCAATTAGGAAAATAACACTTACTACCCAGGAACAAAAAAATAAAAACATTTTGTTACACAGTGAGAAAATCGAGGCGTTTTTGTCAATGTGTTAGATCGCTTAAATGTGTCGTGAAAGCCGCCACCACCCGACCACGCAAGCCAATTGGTGACGGTTTGCCACGTGACCAACACGTGGCAAATTCTAGATTTGAAGCTTTCGTGACTGCAAGGATTCATATTCTTAGGTTTTTTCGGTAAAGTCACGTAGGTAAGAAATTTAAATTAATAAAAAAAAACACGCACCTTTAAATCATCCGCACCTAGTTTACACAACAAATGCTCATTCCCAACAGCATGCTTCAGCCGCACCGAACCTCACAAAAATAATATTCAGGGCCTACCTTGGCTCCTCCCACCCTCAACCAGTATATATACAAATACTGTTTTCTTGGAATTTCTCTCACTTGATACAGCTATCGTGCTGTGACGGTTCCACCTGAAGACGGAGGCTTGTGTTGCCTCCGAAACGTCGTGATTTTAATTTTATTTTACTTTTATTAATTTTAATTGTTTACCTGCGTGACTTTACCGAAAAAACCTAAGAATACGTGGCAAATTGTTACGAGTTGTAGAGTTAAACCCACCACGACGTTTACAACTCGTAGCACCGTGACGCTTCGTCACGGTCCCACCTGATGACGGAGACTTGTGTTGCCTCCGAAACGTCGTGATTTTTTGTTTTATTTTATTTTATTTTCATTAATTTTGATGTTTTACCTACGTGACTTTACCGAAAAAACCTAAGAATATAAATCTCTGGTCGTGTCGGGTGGTGGCGGGTTTAACGACACATTTATAATTTTCGAGTTAAAGCTTTCGTAACTGCAGGGATTCATCTTCTTGGTTCTTTCGGTAAAGTCACGTAGAAGGGAAATAATAAAAATATATATTTATAATAATAATACAAATATTTATAATACTTTTGTTATTATTTTATAATAATAAAAAATATTATTTTATAATTATTTTTTATTATTTCCCTTCTACGCTAATTTGTTAAAGATTAATTATATTATTGGTTCTTTCGGTAAAGTCACGTAGAAGGGAAATAATAGCATTTTTATTATTTTATTCTTATATTTTATAATAATTTTTATTAATTTATAATATTTTTCTTTTATAATAACATTTTATTATTTTATAATATTTCATTATTATTTTATAATACAAAATTGTATTATTTCCCTTCTATGTGACTTTACCGAAAGAACAAAGAATATTAAATTTCGATTTAAAGCTTTCGTGACTGCAGGGATTCATCTTCTTGGTTCTTTCGGTAAAGTCACGTAGAAGGGAAGTAATAAAATAAAATAAATAAAACATAATAAAATAATTCTCACGACGTTTCGGCCACAACGCAAGCAGCCATCCTCAGGTCGGCTGCTTGCGTTGTGGCCGAAACGCCGTGAGAATTATTTTATTATGTTTAATTTATTTTATTTTATTACTTCCCTTCTACGTGACTTTACCGAAAGAACCAAGAAGATGGACGCGTTTATATTGACGCGATCTAACCCCTCTTAACCAGAAAGACCCTCTGCTACGGACAATGTTGGTCACGAAAGCCCCAAATACGACGTCTGACTAACAGATTGAGCTCCAGCCGCGGAGTTCCGCGTCGTTCACGCGAAAGGCCGCGTCGGTGACCAGCGTGCGATGTGCATCTTGACACGGGGAGTGATTTATTAAATCCTTTATATTAAGTTCACTTGCGTGCTTAGGACCGTGCAAATCTTTAGGTCGTTTTTTAACCCACTTCCCGTGATCCAATCGAGCTGACATTTTGCACACAGACTCGTTGTGCGTGACAATTAATTTTCGTGAAAATTTTTTTCCAAAATTTTACACTGTTTAGGGAAATTTTTTTTAAACATTTAATTACCAATTGTTTAATGTTGCCAGAGGACGAGGGGACTCTAGCCGCCGCGATGCCACGCATTTAAAGGATTTATAGTGAAAAACTTTGTTTTTACGGGTTTACTTGTTTTTATTTGTCATTGTGGTGGTGATGGTGGTTGATGATGGTGGTTGATGGTGCTGCTGGTATCAGGACGGCCTCGATCCCACGCTGGGCCTCCACCTGGGAGCCTTCCACTCGTTCGAGGCGTCGCTGCTCCAGGAGCAGATCGTCTTCCCGGCCACCGCGACCTCTTCCTCGTCGACGTCGTCGTCGTCGGCGTCGCCGGTGGCGTCGTCGTCGTCGTTAGCGGAGCGTGCGAGCCCGGGGCTCACGCCGCCCCGCCAGCAACACTACCACCACCAGCAACACCACCAACACCAACACCACCAACAACAACATCACAGCCATGAGCACCCCGACACAACACCGCCGCCCACGTTAACGCCACCGCCGCCGCTACCCCACCACCACCACCAACAACACCACCAACATCAACAGCAGCATCATCATCACCACCACCATCAACGGCACACGCCACAACCGCACCCCGGCCCCGCCGAGCAATTCGGAAGCATCATCGCCGCGACCGTCACAGCCACCAGCTCGCCACCGCCGCAACCGCCGCAACCCCTGCAACCGCTGCAACCGCTGCAACCGCTGCAACCGGCGCAACCGGCGCCCTTCTACTACCACCACCACCACCACCACGATGAGGACGACCGCCCCGGCTCGCCGTGCACCTCGTCCGGACGCCGAAGCCCCGGGCACGGCGGCTCCCCGGGGCCGCTGGACGCTGGTCCTCCCCGGCGTCCCCGACCCCGTACGCCACAGTGTGCTACTACCCGCAGCGGCTGCTGCCCCCCGGCTCACAGCAGCTGCAGCAGCAGCAGCTGCAGCAGCAGCAGCTGTCCGACTCTCAGCTGCGCGGCATCAACGGCGCTGAAGCGTCACAGCGGCACGCGGGTCGAGGTGCGGGGAGAGGATGGTGGAGTGGGGGGCTGGCAACGGGGACCCCCCTTTTCTCGTGTGTGTGTGTTGTGGTGTGACAGCCCCTCTCGTGTGCCGCATGGCTGGCCTTCATAGGCGCTACGTCGCTAACAGCACTTGCCCCAACGGTCTGTTAAGGCTACACGGGGGGTATATACTCTTAGTTTTTTCGGTAAAGTCACGTAGGTGAAAAATGATTTCATTTTTTACCCACGTGACTTTACCGAAAAAACTAAGAGTATGAATCCTTGCAGTCACGAAAGCTTCAAATCTAGAATTTTTATGATTTTTTATTATTTATTTTATTAATTTTAATTTCATTTTTTACCTACGTGACTTTACCGAAAAACCTAAGAGTATGAATCCTTGCAGTCACGAAAGCTTCAAATCTAGAATTAATACACGTTGGGGTCTTTGTCTTTGTGTGCGTGTCGGTAGAGTAGCGGTCAGTGCTCTGCGCTATCGAACTCGGCGAGCCCCGAGTTCACGGCTACCAACACCAGTGACGATTATTTGAGCCGGTCCTGGGCCTCCTCTAGGTCGGCTCAGCCTCAAATGAGGCTGAGCGGTGTGTAAACATCACCACTGGGGATACAAAGGCGGTCGGGCGTGGCCACCCCACCGCCTCCGTGTGCCGTACCGGCTTTCATGGGTGCTACTCGCTAACAGCACTTGCCCCAACAGTCTGCTGAGGCTATAGCGGGGATCTTTATCTTTGTCTTTTAATGGGGAGCGGTGGCGCAGTGGTTAGCGCGCTGCGCTCCGAGCTCGGCGACCCGAGTTCGAATCCCGCTCACGGCCAACACCGGTGACGACCGTCTGAAATCGGTCCCTGAGCCCTCCCCTAGGTCGACTCAGCTTTAAATGAGTAGCTGGTGCGGTGGTATAAACATCGCCACTGGGGAGACAAAGGCGGCCGGGCGTGCTGCTGGCCACTTACCGTACCGGCCTCCATAGGCGCTGCTACTCGCTCAGTTGACATTTCTCTCCCTAACCTCTCTCCCGCTGACCTCTCCCCGACCTCGCTCCCTAACCTCCTCCTGACCTCTCCCCCCCTGAACACCCCCTAACCTCCCCCTGACCTCTCCCCCCCTGAACACCCCCTAACCTCCCCCTGACCTCTCCCCCATGACCTCCCCCTGACCTCTCCCCCCCTGACCTCCCCCTGACCTCCCCCTGACCTTTCTCTCCCTGACCTCCCCCTGACCTCTCCCCCCTGACCTCTCCCCCCTGACCTCTCTCTCCCCGACCCCCCCCCCCCCCAACAGAGCCGCGTGCCCCGCGTCGCCCCCGTCTCTACGAGTTCCTGCTGGAGGCGCTGTCCGACCCCGCCATGCGCCACGCCGTGCGCTGGGTGAGATGCAGCACAACACCGACACTCACCACTCACCACCACTCACCACCACTCACCACCACCACTCACCACCACTCACCACTCACCACCACTCACCACCACCATTCATCACCACTCACCACCACCACTCACCACCACACCACTCACCCAGCACCACTCACCACTCACCACCACCACTCACCACTCACCACCACCACTCACCACCACTCACCACCACCACTCACCACCACTCACCACCACTCACCACCACCACTCACCCAGCACCTCTCACCACCACCACTCACCACCACCACTCACCACCACCGCTACCACACACCACCACCACTCACCACCACTGACCACCACCACTCACCACCACTCACCACCACCACTCACCACCACTCACCCAGCACCTCTCACCACCACCACTCACCACCACCACTCACCACCACCACTCACCCAGCACCTCTCACCACCACCACTCACCACCACCACTCACCACCACCACTCACCCAGCACCTCTCACCACCACCACTCACCACCACCACTCACCACCACCGCTACCACACACCACCACCACTCACCACCACTGACCACCACCACTCACCACCACTCACCACCACCACTCACCACCACCACTCACCCAGCACCTCTCACCACCACCACTCACCACCACCACTCACCACCACCACTCACCCAGCACCTCTCACCACCACCACTCACCACCACCACTCACCACCACCACTCACCCAGCACCTCTCACCACCACCACTCACCACCACCACTCACCACCACCACTCACCCAGCACCTCTCACCACCACCACTCACCACCACCACTCACCACCACTCACCCAGCACCTCTCACCACCACCACTCACCACCACCACTCACCCAGCACCTCTCACCTCTCACCACTCACCACCACCATTCACCACCACCACTCACCACCACTCACCACCACCACTCACCACCACTCACCACCGCTATCACTCACCACCACTCACCACCACTATTCACCCATCACCACTCACCACTCACCACCACTACTCACCCGTCACAACATTACCACTCACCAACTCACGCGCGCCGTGATCACCGCTCACCACCACCACCACTCACCACCACCACTCACCACCTCTCACCACCACCACTCACCACCACTGAGTAGTCACAACCCGTCACAACATTACCACTCACCAACTCACGCGCGCCGCGATCACCACTCACCACCACCACTCACCACCACCACCTCTCACCACCACCAGGTGAGCATCCACGAGGGAGTGTTCGCCTTCTCGTCGCGGCACAAGGAGGAGTTGGCGCAGGCGTGGGGTCAACGCAAGGGCAACCGCAAGGCGATGACCTACCAGAAGATGGCGCGCGCGCTACGCAACTACAGCAAGACGGGGCGCGTGCGGAAGGTCAAGCGGAAACTCACCTACCAGTTCGGGCCCGAGGCGCTCTGCTAAAGTTGGGGGGCAGCGCTGCCCCCCACCCCCAACAACTGGGAAGGATGGGGGGTCGGGCGGGCAAGTGGTTTTTGTGGTAGGAAGGGCAGCGGTGGGTTGGTGAGCGGGCAGGAGGGTGAGGTGCTGCGATGGGGTTTGGTGGAGAGGGCGGTAATGGGTGGGAGGGAAGGGCAGCGTGGTGGTGGGGGGGGCAGCGTGGTGGTGGGGCAGCGTGGTGGGGGGGGGGCAGCGTGGTGGGGGGAAGGCCAACGTAGTGGAGAGGGCAGTAATGGGTGGGAGGGAAGGGCAGCGTGGTGGGAGGGGGGGGGCAGCGTGGTGGTGGGGCAGCGTGGTGGGGGGGGGGGGGGGCAGCGTGGTGGGGGGAAGGCCAACGTGGTGGAGAGGGCAGTAATGGGTGGGAGGGAAGGGCAACGTGGTGGGGGGGGCAGCGTGGTGGGGGGGAAGGGCATTATGGAAGGGGGGCAGCATGGTGGTGGTGGAGGGGCAGCATGAGAGGGGGGGCGGGGTGGGCGACATGGTGGGGGGTTGGCAGCATTGTTGGTGGGGGGGGGCAGGTGGGGGGAAGGCAGGTGGGGGGGGCTTCTCTCTCCTGTTCATCGGACACGAGGGTGCCGTCGCCGGTCATCGTCAGGTGGCGCGGTGGGGAGCGAGTCTGTGGGACGTGGCGGGCCCAGCAACACTCCGTGGGATTCCGGCCAGGAGCACCTCGCGTCGTAAACTCTTGTTTCGCTGTTGGTTCTCGCCCTGTGTGTGTGTGTGTTGAACGTCTTTCGCACCGTACGTAGCCGACCGTGCTAATCGAAGCGCCGTGCGACGATGACGACGATGACGATGTCGACGATGATGACGATGGCGATGATGACGACGATGATGACGATGGCGATGATGACGACGATGATGACGATAACGACGATGACAACAATGACGACGATGATGACGATGACGATGGCGATGATGACGATGGCGATGATGACGATGATAATGTCGATGATGACGACAATGACGACGATGACGACGATGATGACGATGACGACAATGACGACGATGGCAACAATGACAACAATGACGACGATGATGACGATGACGACGATGACGACGATGACAACAATGATGACGACAACGACGATGATGACGACGACAACGACGATGATGACGATGACGACGATGACAACAATGACGACGATGACGATGACAACAATGATGACGATGACGACGATGACAACAATGACGACGATGACGACGATGACAACAATGACAACAATGATGACGATGACGACGATGACAACAATGACAACGATGACGACGATGACGACGATGACAACAATGACAACGATGATGACGATGACAACAATGACAACAATGACGACGATGACGACGATGACAACAATGACGACGATGACGACGATGACAACAATGACAACAATGACGACGATTATGATGATGACGACGATGATGACGATGACGACAATGACGACGATGATGACAATGACGACGATGACGACGATGATGACGATGACGACGATGATGACGATGACGACAATGACGATGACGACGATGACGACGACGATGACGACGATGACGATGATGGCAACAATGACAACAATGACGACGATGATGACGATGACGACGATGAGAGACCACCACCGTCTTAGTTCGGTGGCTAAGCCAGAAGCAGCGCCCTCCACCACCATCGCTGCTGCTGCTGCAAGGACAACGGGTGGGGGGGGGGGCGATGTAGTGGATGGAACAACGTGTCTGGGGCCGGCTCTCAGCTGTGGTTTGCTTGGAGCAGGCGCAGTTTGGTCTCTGGTCTTAGCAAGGTCATCTTCTTGGTCGCAACCCAGCCCCCTCCCTCAACCCCCCCCTACCCACCCAGACCCCCCCCGCCCCCCGCTCTATTCGCCGATATATATTCAGAGCTAAGTTATCGACCCTCCTTTAAGTTATAATTCACTCTGTAACAAAAAAAATGTTTTAATCCTGGGTAGTAAGTGATATGTTCTAATTGCTTATGCCTCAAAAGTACAGAACATGGCTATTATTCCCCACAAACGTTGCTGTTGTGACCAGGACAGTGATATGTTGAAATGTAGCTATTTTCAATGAGAAAACGTGGTGTGCATCCGTGTCATTCCTTCACGTAAAGTCCTAGCGACGAAAGCAAAGTTTGTGGGGAACAATAGCCGTTTTTTTATTCTTGGTTCTTTCGGTAAAGTCACGTAGAATGGAAATAATAAAAAGACAGACCTGTTCTCCACCTGAGGACGGCTGCTTGCGTTGTGGCCGAAACGTCATGAGAATTATTTTATTATGTTTTATTTTTATTATTTTATTTTTCCATTCTACGTGACTTTACCGAAAGAACCAAGAAGATGAATCCCTACAGTCACGAAAGCTTTAAATCGAAATTTAATATTCTTGGTTCTTTCGGTAAAGTCACGTAGAAGGGAAATAATACAATTTTGTATTATAAAATAATAATGAAAATATAATAAAATAATAAAATGTTATTATAAATGAAAAATATTATAAATTAATTAAAAAAATATTCTTAAATATAATAATAATAAAATAATAAAATGCTATTATTTCCCTTCTACGTGACTTTACCGAAAGAACCAAGAATATAATTAATCTTGAACAAATTAGCGTAGAAGAGAAATAATAAAAAATAATTATAAAATAATATTTGTTATTATTATAAAATAATAACAAAAGTATTCTAAATATTTGTTTGAGGCATAATCGATTAGAAAATAACCACTTTACTAGCCAGGGACAAAAAAATCGTCTTACATGACAAGTGCAGTGTCGGCGTTCGAGAGCCGACCGCTAGGGAGAGCTCTCCTCCTCCTCTCTCGGCGTTCACGGCGTTTCTTTGTGTCGTGATTTCGCGTGGCCTCTCCGGGGTCAGAGATCGCAAATATTTGTGCTCTCCGAAGTAACTTTTTTCAGAGTTGATTTTTAAAAAATTGTTGTTTGAAAGGAAATAAAAAAATGTTTTTTTATTTCCTTGTTTGAATGTTCTACACTGTATTAAAGGGTGGAAAAAAATAAAATAGCCGCAATTTATGTGAATGCCGTTCCGTTTGGAGTCTGGAGCAGATTAAGAATGTGCTCGATTAAAATACGATACATACGGCTCGCAGCTGTGCCCGCCTTTTATCAGCGTTATGGTCACACTCTGCTAAGTAGCGACGAAGTCGGCACCGCGCTTGTGCCAGGCTGGGTGCACTTTGAATGCCACGTGAAGTGTCGAAGGCTCGGTGCACTTTGAGAACAACGTGGGGACCCACGCAAAAAGACAAAGATCCCCCATGTAGCCTCAACAGGCTGGTGGGGCAAGTGCTGTTAGCGAGCACCTATGAAGGCCGGCACGGCAAACGAGGGGGTGGGGTGGCCAGCACCACGCCCGGCCGCCTTTGTCTCCCCAATGGCGATGTTTACTACACACCGCACCAGCTACTCATTTGAGGCTGAGTCGACCCAGGGGAGGCCCAGGACCGATTCAAATAATCGTCATTGGTAGGATCGAACTCTGACCGCTACACTACCGACACAGAACAAAGACAAAGATCCCCCGTGTAGCCTTAACAGACCGTTGGGGCAAGTGCTGTTAGCGAAGTAGCGCCTATGAAGGCCGGCACGGCACACGAGAGGGTGTCACACAACAACAACCGCCATTCGCCACTCAGTGGCGGTGACGTCACCACGACGCTTGTGCCAGGCCATGTGCACCTTTGCCCAGATCTTTCAAGGATTTTGGAGCTCCTCACACAATCCAACCTGGTTGAGCCCAGGATGGATCGTAGGCAGGCCAGCCTAAATGTTTCTAACCGGCGAAGATGCTCCATTAGGGGGGGTCGACGTTTCGCAAGCGTAGAGAAGGGAGGGAATGACCGTGGCCGAGAAGACCTGAAGCTTCGTGCGGAGCGACAGACCAGGTAGCTTCCACACAGCGTTACACTCAACTATTTATTATCAATCTTGATTTGAAGCTTTCGTGACTGCAGGGATCCATTATCTCTTTGGTTCTTTCAGTAAAGTCACGTGGGTAGAAATAAAATAGATCACGACGTTTCGGGTGCAACACAGGTGGACGCTTGTGTTTTATTTAATTTTCTACCTACGTGACTTTACTACTCGGCTTCGCCCGGGACTTGGATTCACGACGCCCGGCCGCCTTTGTCTCCCCAGTGGCGATGTTCAAACACCACCCACTTACTCGTTTGAGGCTGAGTCGACCTACGGGAGGCCCAGGACCGGTTCAAATAATCGTCACCGGTGATGGCCGTGAACGGGAATCGAACTCGGGTCGCCGGGTTCGTAGCGCGGCGCGCTACCCACTACACTACAATGCGTTACGCTTCCACGTGCACAGGTCACGTGACAGGTTTGACGTCACAGCTCACTTGCTGTGCAAAAAATATCTGCATAATTGAGCTCCCCCCCCAAAAAAAACCACAAAGTGTATTTTTATAATTGTTGCATGGTGTACAGTCTGGAAAGTAACCCACGTGGCAAATTCCCAGTTTGTTGCATGTCGGGAAGTACGCTAAACATTTTGAACAGACACACATAATCACTACTTTGCCTTATATACATATGGAGATAACATTAACACGGACACTCGACATAAGGTGGTGACCACCGTTCCTACTCTCAACTCACACTCGGGATCATTGCACAGCGAGACCAGGGCAGGGGAACGGCTGCTTGGTCACGAACGACGATCGGAGAATGGAAATAATAAAATAATAATAATAAAAATCTTCTTGGTTCTTTCGGTAAAGTCACGTAGAAGGGAAGTAATAAAATAATACAAATAAAACATAATAAAATAATTCTCACGACGTTTCGGCTACAACGCAAGCAGCCGTCTTCAGGTGAAGAATGAGACACTGCCAAGCTTGGAACTTATATATAAGCTGGGTTGGAAGTGGAAGAAGAGCGCCTTGACAAAATAATGTGCATATCAAGAAGAATTTAGCATATTCATGGGAAAAGCTTTAAATCGAAATAAAATAAAACATAATAAAATAATTCTCACGACGTTCCGGCCACAACGCAAGCAGCCGTCCTCAGGTGAAGACCATTCAGACGCTGTCTCCCCGACAGAC